GTGTGTGTGTGTGTGTGTGTGTGTGTGTGTGTGTGTGTGTGTGTGTGTGTGTGTGTGTGTGTGTTGTGCGTAGGGACAAGGAAGTAATTCACAAGGACTAGCTCAAGTCAAAATGCATGATAATAGTTTTGTGATTGCTCCATTTATAACTCACTTCTCTTTCTTTCCTTCCTCTTTTTTGCAGGATTTCACCTGAGCGGCACAGTAACGGAACCAGCCACGCCCGCCGAACCTGAGGTGACCCACAAGGTGGCCATCAGCTTTGACCGCTGCAAGATCACTTCCGTCACATGTGGCTGCGGGAACCGGGACATTTTCTACTGTGCGCATGTGGTGGCTCTTTCCCTTTATAGAATTCGCAAACCTGAACAGGTAATAACCTAAAAACATGCAGCGCAGACGTTCAATTTTACAGTGGTGGGCATGGTTCTGCCGATCCAATAGAAATAATTTTTCATTTAGGGGGATTAGTTTTTTTTAACTAACTTTGAAAACTGTTAGTGGTCTAGTTATTATTGGCTAAATTAAGTTTTGTCAACTTTAGGCCTGCTAACAGCTAACTAACAAACTAACAACAGTTGTCGTAGTGGTTGGTGATAAACTGTTTAGCATTAGCTGCTGCTATTTTTTWAAATTTGTTTAGTGGTTTAGTGTTACCTCTCCCTGGGCTGACATCTTATCGTGGTGGAGAGGTTTTTGAGTGTCCCAGTGATCCTAGGAGCTATGTTGTCGGGGGCTTCATGCCCCTGGTAGGGTCACCCAAGGCAAACAGGTCCTAGGTGAGGGATCAGACAATGTGCAGCCCAAAGATCACTACTGATGAGTACGATAAATGGACTGAGCGTTCCCTCGCCCGGACACGGGTCATCGGGGTCCCATTCTGGAGCCAGGCCTGGAGGTGGGGCACGTTGGCGAGCGGCTGGTGTCCAGGCTTTCGCCCATGGAGTCCGGTCGGGCACAGCCCGAAGACCCATGGGCTCACTACCTGTGGGAGGGGCCGTAGGGGTCAGGTGCAATGTGTGTTGGGCGGTGGTCTAAGGCGAGGACCTTGGCGGTCTGATCCTCGGCTACAGAAGCTGGCTCTAGAGACATGGAATGTCACCTCTCTGATGGGGAAGGAGCCTGAGCTGGTGTGTGAGGTTGAGAGGTTCCAACTAGATATAGTTGGACTCACCTCGACGCACCACTCTGGCTCTCTGGAATTGCCCATGCTGAGAGGCGCCGAGCAGGAGTGGGCATACTTATTGCCCCCCCATAGTTAAAAGTGACAAAAACAGTTATTTTATTGCAGTGATTATTTTAGAAACGTTACATTTACATCGCATCATGGATCACGTATTGATCAAATGCTGCTGCCGACTCATCCATGACGGGATGTAAATGTTACATTTTCTATAGTTAAAATTAATCACTGCAATAAATAACTATCTGTTTTTGTCACTTTTACAGTGGATTGCATCAACTCTGTTACATACAGAAGGGAAACTTCACCGAAGTGAAACATAAATCTGTGCATCTGTGTTTGATTACTCTGGCTGGCTTTCTCAAGGACCAGGATGTGACACAAAAATCTGAATTATGGAACTTAAAGTGAAAGTAGTCAAACTGAATTTTTAATAAACCAAAATACAGTTTCAAAGCAAATGAATTCAGATACTAAACTTTAAATTCTGTTTTGGTTTATTAAAATTCATTTTCAAACCAATGCATTCAATTTCAAATTATGCACATCCAGATTCAATCTGAGCAATTCAAATTCAATTCCTGCTGGCACAAGATTTATCCCATAAGCAAAGCTGTATTTTTAGTTTGAGTTACTGAAGCTAACTTTTGGTTAGCTGTGCCCACCACCGATATTCGATCACTGAAGGTCAAAATGTTGTTCTTTATAACTGACTGGTCACAGAGCTCCAGTTTATGTTGATGAAATGCACGTAATAAAAATGTCTTATGTGTGTCTGCTGCAGGTGAAGCTACGGCTGCCCATATCAGAAACATTGTTCCAGATGAACAGAGATCAGCTGCAGAAGCTGGTCCAGTATCTGATCACGGCCCACCACACCGAGGTGCTGCCCACGGCTCAGAAACTGGCTGACGAGATCCTCTCCTCCAACTCTGAGATCAACCAGGTTCACGGTGAGACTCCACCTCCCCTCCCCAACCTCTGCTTTTCACATTCTGCTGGGTGTTAAGTAAAGATGCAGGAAATTCTCGTTTCTCACCCGTCCTCCAAATCCACCAGCAACTGATTTGCTTTATTCCAGGAATGTATGACAGTCAACGGGGAAGTACAGGACTTGGCTTAAAAAAGTTCCAACTCTGTGGGGTGCATTCTATCCTTCTGCAGAGATATCTTCACAGCGACAGGCCGCACTTAAAAGCCCTCAGACTTGAAACATGCTGCATTGCTAGCCCACAGGCTCCCAAACGTCTAAGCACCTGATTACTTCAGGGAAGCAGCAAGCCAAGCTTCAAATGGCCCGTTTGATTTCTTAGTTTCATCTTCGCAGCCAATTCCTCCTCCCACCGGCAGGGATTGGTTGAATAAATCAGAGGAAAAAAGGAGGTGATTGATGAAATGGATGCAGAAGACGACATGCAGAAGAAGAAGGGGACGCTGAGAGGAAGAGACCAGGGAAATGGCACTCAGAGAGACGGGGGGAATGCAGATGGAGGGGAAAGGAAGGAGAGATGAAAGGGCCGGAGAAAGTACTTAGAAGGAACGACGGAGATCCACAGCAGCGCCACATCGGGGGGGGGGCAAGAAACCAGACACACCCTTTCAACAAACAGAAATCTTTGTTTCCATTTCATTCTTCTTGCTAAATGTTGACATTCTCAAACGCTTGCGTCCAGGAAGCCGCGCGCTCTGCTTCCTGTCTGTGTTTAACAAGGGGGATCATGGGGGTTGAAGTTCAGTCGATCCAGGAGAAGGACTGCCTTTTGAAGGAGCCGTGTTGCTGTTTGCTGCTGCGCTCTCTCACTCTCTCTCTCTTTCTCAGCCAGTTGGAAACACATCTCCGGGCTTTCCTCAGCGCGCTTCCTGTAAGATCAAAGCAGCTTCCCCCACCGGAGCGTATCTACGTTTCTCCACAGCACTACTTAGACACACACATGCTCACAACGAACTGAAGAAAAAATAAAGTTGACCTAACATTCCCTCAGTGGATGATTAACTTCACTCGAGCAGCGTTTCTCAGGTGCACTGTGGGTCTAATGTAAAACTTAAAGGTATCAAAGCAGTGCGGTTTTGCAACAAGCTTTTAAATGAGTAAAATGTGGTTTCTGGATAAGATTTCAAACGAACAGATCACATTTTAAATTAAAAAATGACTGATGAGCTCAAGAAACAGAAATCTTTCTTTCAGAAGGAGGTAGACTAAAACTAAACTGTCAACAGGTTTTTGTCTTTGGCCGTGATTTGAAAACAGGATGTGTACACGTAAATACGCAAATCTTAATAGTTTAAAACCAGCTGTGACCAAAGCATGTTGTGTTCTTGAGTTACTGCCTGCTTACATTTCTTGCTTTTTATGAGAGTTTGTGCTTGTTATTTACCGTTTGTGTTTGGATATTCTCAGGCGCTCCAGACCCAACTGCAGGAGCCAGCATCGATGATGACAACTGTTGGCATCTGGACGAGGATCAAGTCAGGGAGCAGGTCAAACAGTTTCTGTCCCAGGGAGGATACTATGGCTCCGGGAAGCAGCTCAACTCCATGTTTGCTAAGGTCTATATCAGTAGTTATTTACAATTATGAGTCACAAATGATGATTCATGCTCTAAAACCTGAAGAAAATAAAAATAAAAATCATCAAAATAACTAGGATTCTTTCCAACAAAACACATGAATCAAAGTTTGATATGCACTTCAGTTTTGAGGTCATGGTTCCAATGCTGGTTTGGTTTAACAGGAAAATGGATGCTAAATTCTAATTGTTTTTTACTTGTCTTTTATAAAATAGACAATTATCCTCCAAAACACAAGAATGGAAAAACAATCTTCCATTGTTAAATGTAAGGCTTGCACAAAAGTATAGAATTTGTCAGCTGCTAATTGTATTTTTCTATTCGGGGGATAAAAAACAACCTTTGRTCACATTGTTCCATCATTAAGTTTGAACTGTAAACAGTTGTACAATCGCGCCAACAAACACGGGCCACTCTTTTATCAAGAAAATAGTAAAAACAAACAAACAAACAAAAAACAAGGAAATGGTTGTTTCAGTTTATATGGCCTAAATCTGACTTAAAAGGGCAATAAATGCCTGGTTACATATTTACCAGTGTTTATTAGATGCCAGGGGGRATATGTGCAAATAATGGCATCTTTGGCTTTCCGTACATCCACTCCTCACAGATTCTTATACATGTTTTAATACTGCTTCACTGTTTTCCCACTGTGTCGAGATATTGAAGTTGTCTTGCTATCATTTTTGGAAATTCACTTATTCACTTTCTTGCTAACAGTTGGGTCAGATCGATACAACTCTTATCTTTTACTAAGTAAATCTGCATTTTGACAAAAAATGTTCAATTGCCTTTTTTTTACTCTTATTCAAGGAACTAAAATTTTTCAGATCGTGGTTGATTTGTTTGCAGTCTTAAGTCCCACAGTGGTTAAACAAAAGGTAATAAGATAAATGAATAAAGATTTGCAGAGCAGTTCACTTGGAAGAAGGAAGTGTACAAAAACCGGAATCTCTTATTATTTGCCTTTTTATGTTAAAAAATACAGAATTTCTCTGATCTTTGTTTGTTTGTTTTTTTGCTTGCTTGTTTGTTTTCTCTGTTTATGTTGATTTGACAACCATGTTCGCTGTCTGCCTCCTTGTTTTGTGTCCTGAATGCCTTAATTTACAGATAAGCTGTTTTTGGTTTTTGTGATTGACACAAGCAGCACACGAATTAGCATCACATGAATTCAGATGTTTTTACGTCTCTTCAGGTGCGGGAAATGCTTCGAATGCGGGATTCTAATGGCGCCCGAATGCTAACGCTAATAACGGAACAATTCATGGCGGACCCTCGACTGTCACTGTGGAGACAACAAGGCACTGGGATGACAGACAAGTGCCGGCAGCTCTGGGATGAGCTAGGTGAGAGCTTTTATGACACATCTAAAATAAATACAAAAGACKTATCCTTTACCATATTTTCAGCATYGCTGAGTCAGCTCCCTAGTCGGTTCATCAATCACTGCAGGTCAGACAGCAAGCTCTGCAGAAACGTCCAGCGCGTCGGTGCCTGAGACAAATACCCTGTCACCTGGCCGGGGCCAGCACGTTCAGGTTTATCCAGTGGGCTGCTCCCCCCTCCTGCCCCTCGGCTTCTCCTCCAGTTCCCCTGCATGCGGCGAATGATAAAGGCTGCCGATCAATACTGCTGCTCAACTTCTCTGCGATCAATCTCAGCATTTAGGAGGTCAATAGGAACACTTCCCGAGTGAGCGAGTGAGATCATGACACAGACAGAAATAACAGCCAGACAGTCGGATCATTTTTCTCCGCGAGGCCCACGTCTGACAGTTGCCACAGCTGGAGGTTTGGGTGCGTGCAACAGATGCGATGACGTCTGTAGTTAAAAGGCGTTAAAGATGGCCACTAGAGTYGACTCTTTTTTGACTAATTTTTTTATACAAAAAAAATAATAATTCAAGAATATGCTGGATATAGAGGTCAGATTTGTTTTGCTTTGTAAAAACATGCAGAATACTTTCTTCTCATTGAAATTTTCTTAATGCATTCATTAAGTCAATGACAACTGCAGAAATGTCTGTTTTGATGTAAAAAAACAAAAACAAAAAAGAAATCCTTATATTATAACCATGAAATGTGCCGAGACCCATTTGTTCCAGCCACATATTTCCAGTATTGGATAAGTCAAAACATTTTTATTTTTTAAGTCTGATTTGAAAAGATTAGACAATAAAACTTCTTTGTGTTTTGAGCGTTTAGTTTCTGCAAATAGAAATAGTTTTTATTGATTCATTATGACAATATTAAATAGAAAAGTCACATCAAACATTAAATCACCGAAGTTGAAGGATGGTGGGGTGTGATTTTCTTCTTCATGAAAACATTTTGTTTGTTGGCTCTGCATGAACAAGAAAAGTCAAATTTACGTTCAGTTATTGTATCGTACTAATGTTGCTCAGCTCCTGCTAATTGATATGATGTCACAATGCAACACAGCAAGAGTGTAAGACGCAGATGGAGGAGACGAAGTGAAGTGGAAAAATTCTGGAAGAAATCTCATGTTTTGTGTAGTTTTCTGCTGTTCTGATTGTTCTAACTGAGAAAAGGGAGAAAGGTTGTCATACACAAAGGTGAGAAATGTAGAAATCTCAGAACAACACAGTAAAAAGTGGATTTTAAAGCTACGCCTTTGGAATCTGCTAAAGCTGATGTCTGCAGCGACGAGGTGTGTTAGCTAGCTATCTTGTGTTTTTGTGTTTATAATGCATTAGGTGWTTGTAAAAATGTACAATGGTTTCCTCCTTAGTCATTTTACTTCCTGCCCTCCATTTATAATTGTGCGTCATCAGAACCACTGAAACCCAGCTGTTTAGAACACCACTCCAGAGTTTCTGCATCTTTTACCCCCTGATATTTGACCACTGCTTCTCTTGTCTCCAGGTGCACTGTGGGTGTGCGTTGTGCTTAATCCCCACTGCAAGAGCGAGGAGAAGAGCAGCTGGCTGAGGCAGCTGAAGAAGTGGGGCGACATGGACGTGTGCCCACTGGAAGATGGCAACTACGGCAGCGAGCTTCCGAACATCACCAACGCCCTGCCGCAGAGCAACCTCGCACAAGGTTTGCACAGAAACACACATCTGACCGGTGCGATTACTCTGTAACAGAAACAAACCAGGAAGGATGAAAGCATTGCTGTGACGTGTACTGACTGCGCTGCATTGTGTCAGACTCTCTGTCCAGGCCGAGGCGGACGGTGTTCAGTCGAGCCGTGGAGGCCTGCGACCTCCACTGGCAGGACAGCCACCTGCAGAGGATCATCAGCAGCGACTTCTACATGTCTCCGTCCTATCAGAGAGAGGGGGAGAGCCTGCTGTTCAACCCACAGGGGCTGCCGCTGTGGCTCGGTACAGACCCAGAAAATAGTTCTCACTTTTTTAGTTGCGTAATTTGCCGCCTGCAGTGCACAATTTATTAGGCTTCATAGATATTTAGGCCAAAAAGTGTACACTGAGAAATGCACACACACTTTCTGCTCCTCTAGACGGCAGACAAACTTTCTGTCTACAAAGACCGACGGTGCTCATGTGACAGTTCCACACATCGTTTTTACTTCTGCTGAAATCTGAACCAACCAACACACACACACACACACACACACACACACACACACACACACACACACACACGCGCGCGCGCACGCACAGTAATTCTGCTGATACTGAAGCCAGTATCTGCAGTAAGCAGCTTCCAGCTAAGATCTGTCAGATTCTGCAACTTAAGCCAGCTATCACACACAAACACACACAGACACACACACAGGCTTTCTGCTGAGACTGCACAGTGTGTATGTGTAAGCATGTTTGTTGGAGTCTAACCCTAAGCTTGTGCGAGTTGTGAGTCTGTGCAAAAGCAGCTGAGGATGTATTTGTAAAAAAGACTTGAATTATTATTATTTTCTTTTGTCCTGACCTCACTCTGTTTTCCCGTCCACCACACAGACCACGTCCCAACAGCGTGTGCCCGCGTCGACGCCCTGCGCTCCCACGGTTACACCAGGGAAGCCCTGCGATTGGCTGTGGCCATCATCAACACGCTCCGCCTCCAGCAGCAGAGACAGATGGACATCTACAAGCACCAAAAGAAGGGTACAGCGTGTTCACGAAACGGTTTCCTTCCTGAAGGAGGTGCAGTCGTTTGAGCGCTGACCGCCTCTCTCTTTCTGTCCTCAGAGCTGCTGCAGAGAGGGGTTACCTCCACCACCAACCTGGAGGGTTGGGTGGGTCATCCCTTAGACCCCATTGGTTGTTTGTTCCTCACCCTCACCGAAACGTGCAGAGTGGATGATGACAGCACCATGGACACCGGAGGTATGAAGTCATGTATTTACACAGGATCTCTAGTATCTCATAGAGCAGGGGTCTGCAACCTTTACGATCAAAAGAGCCATTTGTGCTCCTTGGCTCACTAATAAAATGTGTCCAGAGCCGCAAAACAAGCTACGAATGTGATTATCAACTGGTGGTCCGCGGACCTTTTCGAGGTTCTTTCGGGAACCTTTACGGTCAGTAGAGGTGACATTATAAAACAAAAAAATTTGTATTATTATTATTATTATTATTATTATTATTATTATTATTATTATTATTATTTATTGTACACATCAGAAAGAACAGATTTGTGTAAACAAGAAAAATACTGTGTATAATTTATACCAAATTTCATAAAAACTAGTACAACTGAATTATTCAGGCATATTTTTTAAAATCTTATTATTATGTAGTCTTCAAATTCTTTAAAGGCAATTCTGATGGATTTGAGAGAAAGATCATAGAAAGAAGTTAGATTATTTAAGAAAACAACAGGCTAGCATGAGCTAATATGTTTAACTTTTTGTTTCAGTATTGATCACATCATACAACTTGGTTTCTGTTGTGGGTATACAAACACCCCCAAAAATTATTGTTATGTTTGGTCATATTTTCAAAGAGCCACTGCATAGGGGCCAAAGAGCCACATGTGGCCCTACATCCGCAGGTTGCAGACCCCCGTCACAGAGGTACAACCTATTTCAAAGATGTAAGCAAAAGGGCAAAACAGTGTTGTGTTTTTACAAACTCAGAACTTTGCCCAAATAAAATGTTAAAAATAACTTTTTTCTTTTACCTTTTTTAAGTAAGCCAACGTTTACTGATCGTTTGAAACTTTGGGATCACCGTGGCCATAGAAGAAGCCACACCCATTTTACCGGGTCACTCCACCCATAATAAAACGGATGCATCCCCGTAAAATTTCCCATCATATTTTAGAAACATACAGACTTATTCAAAACTGTCTCTTCTCTAATTCTAAAGTGTTTGTATTGATAAAAACAAACTCCAGTCAGAGAAACATTTACACTTGGGTCAAACATCAATAAATGTTTGTTTAGTATCGTTTCCGTTTCAATAAATATTTTCATCCATTCATTCTGTGTTTGTATTTCTACCTTTACCTCAGTGCTTTTATCAGCACAAGTATGGCAGCGACAATATTAAAGGAACAAAGTAATAAAGCTGGTAAAGCACATCCCTATAATATTGTTTCATAGCACAAATGGGAGAGGTGTGCAGGTGTGTGTGTGTTTGTGTTGTGTGTCCCAGTATGGCTTTTTATCTAACAGCGCCACCGCCACAATATTGGTGATTTCAAATGTTTTTATGTTAGTATAATCTTCTTACTGTCTATAAATAATAAGATTAGCACCTTTGGACCAGTTCATCAAGGATATATGACAGATTAAGTTGCCCCAGCATTCTAAAATCATTATAACTGGCCTGTTGATGGTTTATTTCAKTTACGTTTGCCACACAGTCTCAATATAAGAATATAATGTAGTCATGTAGAGAAATACTAAAATATTGTCTATCTCTGGATCTGTAGTGCTAAAAGGGGTAAAAATGTAATAGTAAATGTACAAAGATGAACATATTTATTAAAATAGTTGGCTACAAAGAGCAGAAAAAGGTAAATTTTATATATTAGTACAAAATGTCCCAGGTATGAAGTGGTGGTACGACGTAACCCTGAGCTGTTGAAGCATGTGCTGGTTGTAGCTCCTCAGGATAGTTTTCCGTTTCTCTCCGCTTCATTTCATCGTCTTAAGATTTAAACTGATGCTCGGGGTTGAACATCTTGCCTTCATATAATCATCACAAAATAAATCCTCGTTTGCAGACGTTCCCACTGAGAAGCTAGAATGAAAACCATCCTCTCAGTTGTGCATCCTACTTTGAGCCTGCAGCGCTGCAGATCCCTCAGTCTGTTAAACCTTCACTGGGAACTTTATTAACTTGTACCTCGGTGAAAGTACAAATCATGTCCCGAGCCTGGTCCCAGGTTGGGTTCAAGAATTTTTTTTTTTTTTACTAAACATAATTCCTGGCACGCTTCAGCAGAGTAATTCAGAGCAGAGGGGATCAGACTCGACTAACGGCGACTCGTCACACAACAGACGCCATGTTCTTACACGAGGATTGTCCGCTGTTGAGCCGATATAAACTAGTAGAGCATGAATGGGTGGGATTGGAACAGCCTGCTCATTTACAACACGGCTCTGCTTGTGTGTGTGTTCATGTATAGAATCCATCCACATTTGCATTTTTCACCCTACCCAGGGAGGTTTTTTTTTTTTTTTTTTTTTTTTTTTTTTTTTTGCCCCTCTCTGCACCAGTGGCCATTACAACAGATCAGAATAGAGGCTGGGTTTGGTCATTGTCTCCAGGCTACAGGGAAGTATTGTCAGCGTGAACAATGCTGACCACTGGCGCAGCCATCTGTGTCTCTGTGTACTCTGGTTAAAGTGACTCGTGTTGGTCTCAGGCTGGTTTTGGAATCTGAGGAATGAGCTCTGATAGGTTCGTGTAATTTCATATCATCCCGGTGACCATGTCTTGGGGAGAACAGCTGGAAACATCTGCTACGCAGTGGGCAGACTCGGGCTGTGGATCATCCAATCCAAATGCACCTTTTATTTTATTTTCTTTAGCCTTTTCAAATCAACCAATGGAGTGCTGGGGGAAATAAAAGCCATGAATAATGAAGTGGGTTTCAGTCTGTAGAACCAGTTTCCTTCTCTCTCCTCAGTCTCGACACATGCTCAGACACACACTGCTTCTCCACACACGTATCTGTGGAATAAACAGGATTTAAGGGGATCTTTTGCTCAGAGGGGATTTAAGCCCAGCGATGGGGCAGGGGAGCGAGAGCGAACAAATGGGCACCAATCAACAGCTGAGGCTCTTGGGGCATCTGTTCTCACTTATAGTTAGAAAGCTTTAGTGTAGGCAGTGTGGTCGGTTTAGATTCTTTAAAAGAATCTAAAATATGGGTTGTTTTACTCACAATTTTATCACATTTAATTACTTGAGTGCCTATGTTGGTGTTTTTTAATAAGTTATTGTTTATCTACTCACTTTAGGGTCATTCTTTTAAAACAACTTACATTTCAAGTTCATCTTTACCCCAAAATAATCCATCTGTGAGGAATATACTCAGTTTAATATGTAAATATTTATGTAAAAAAAGTTAGACAGCTTTTATAAAAAGTATTTTATTTGACTTTTTACTTTATTTTTTACTAGTTTTGCACCAACTGCAGTTTTCTGACCTATCACTAATCTTTAAAAAAGCCTGACCTGCCAAATCAGATTTTGGCCGATACTTAATTTTTTAACTTTTTTTACTTACTTTTTTTTATAACTGTCAGATGATAAGGTCACAATACACCTTCAATGTTCCTATCATTTTTTAATGAACATTGAATAATACCCCTGAAACAGTACAAACTTGTGTTTAACTGGACAACAGCTCTCTTTCTCATTAGAGCAAAAGGGGGACAGCGGCTGATTTTCAGACTTTTGCTGAGGTGTCGCTATCGGCCGATCACCCAAAATTAAGGAAATCAGAGCCAATAAGACAGTGGCCAAGTTCCTCCTCTTAAAACGCCTGATAACTGATGAAGGTTTAGGTTTGTAAAATTTGGAAGAAAAGTCCTGTCATCGTTATGAACTAATCTTTAATAAAAAGGCATGAGTATTTCTTCCGTTTTGTTATAAAAGAATCATTGTTCCTTCCCCTCTTTCTTTGTAGACGGTGACCCCAGACCTCCAGTCTACCACCATGTGCCAGTGTGGGGGAGTCCAGATGGGGGCGAGTCCTACCTGACTCTGGCCCTAGAGGTGGCTCTGATGGGTATGGGCCAGCAGAGAATAATGCCAGAGGGACTATACGCCCAGGATAAGGTAATCATTTCTATAGCTGAACAACTTTCCTCATAGAGAACAAGATGATGTCAGGATGCTTGACTTCTCTTTAAAATTACAGATGCTTTAATGAAGTATAATAACGCCCCTGTGCATTTTAAAAAAAAAAACCTCTCTTCCTGTGAATTTGCCCGTTGAAGGCAATGTTGCCATGAGAGAAAATCACTATAATTTAACATCAGTTGGAAGTAAATGCCATGCAAAAAGCGAGAAAAGGTCATGCCATTTTTGTTTCTTGAAAAACAAGCAGAAAGTCACAGTACTTAAGTTCACTGTGAGTTAGAATAAATCCGAGGAGCATTTCTTTGTGTAAATGGTAATCTGCTTTTGGGCGGCTTAGAACGGCTGCCGCAGACCTTTCTTAATGTCACTGGAATTAGCGGCAATATTAATGTTTTTAAGCAGGAGGTGCATTTAAAACCAGTCACATGCATGAAAGGACCTCGCTCTGGATTCTTGGCAGGAATGAAATCACTTCAAATACAAAAGATCTGCAGAAATGTACGAGTGAGAAGTATTAAAGTACCCTGCTGCTTCTCTAATATCTGTGAACTTTCTTAAAAGGTTTTGAAACTTCAAAGATTAACGATCTTTACCTGCAGGACTCGTTTCTGTGTATGTTTGTGAATAATATATAYTACAGTATTCTGTGTTTATTATGTATACATTTACAGAAAAGTCATCTGTATTGGAAGAATCAAGCGTTCATTTCTGTGGCCTCTTCAGAACATCGACCTCTCTTTGTCCCGTCATCTTTACATAAACGTGACTGTTCTGTTCTGTGTTTTCTACCTGTTCTAGGTGTGTCGCAACGAAGAACAGATCGTTTCAAAGCTGCAAGAACTGGAGTTGGATGACCTCCTGGTTCAGACGCTTCGGAAGCAGGCCATCCAGTTACTGGAGGGTACGTCTAGCACGCCTGTCGCATAATTGTCTCTGAATGTAATTATTGTAGACCAGTGTCCCGAGTAACAGTCCCTTTTCTCCTCTTGGTCTCAGCTGGTCCGTTCGGTGGGCTCGGGGAAGTCATTCACAGAGAAAGTGTCCCCATGCACACGTTTGCCAAATATCTTTTCTCTGCTCTGCTGCCACATGACGCGGACCTGGCTTATAAAGTGGCTTTGCGTGCAATGAGGTCTGATCTGCACTCACCAAAATGTGCAAAACAAAACAAACTGTTTATTCCTACWAGTCAAACTCTGATGTTACATGTTGTGCAAAAAGAATCCCTGTTTTTTAAAGTGATGGTTCCGATATTTAGAAGTGGAGTTTATTTATCTTCATGACTGAAGCATTCACTGCAGTAGTGTATCCTGATGATTGTGCTAAAGTCAGAGAAATCTCACCCAGATCTTGTTCTTTGCCCACAAAAGGCTGCCGGTGCTGGAGTCGTCAGCAGGTTCTGGGGACGTCGGGCACCCGCATCACGGCATCTCTATCGTTCCGAGCAGATACCCCCGCTGGTTCACCCTGGGCCACCTGGAGTCCCAGCAGTGTGAGCTCGCCTCGACCATGCTCACCGCTGCTAAAGGTACAGCCACAACATCCTCGTGAAGAGAAAAGCTGTTGTTTAAAAAGCTCTAAGTTTGCCCTCCTTTTTGTTTGTTTTTTGTTGCCCCCTAAGGAGACATGTTGAGACTGCGGACGGTGCTGGAGGCCATCCAGAAAAACATCCACTCCTCTTCCCTAATCTTCAAACTGGCCCAGGACGCCTTTAAGATCGCCACGCCCGCAGACAGCCCTCCAGATATAACCCTGCTCAACGTGGCGCTGGAGCTGGGACTGCAGGTACAGATGTGTTCAAATCATCAGTTTCACAGCCGAAGGGAGCGAGGGAAAAAAAACAACAACTGCAGCTTCTTTTAACATGTAAGGGTTTTTTCTTGTGGGCATCCACAGCTGCTCTACAAATTAACACAGGAAAACATTACGTCCAGTTTGACCATTGTTGACGAGAAGAAACCACATGATTAAAGGGTTCCAGGGTGCAGTCAGACAAATGCCACAGAATAACCGCTCGCTGTGGCGTTACCTGCCTCTGTCTGCAGCGAGAGGATCCTTGTCAATAATGTGCAATTTTAAAGCACACACAGATGAAGATGTAAAAAAAAATTACAGTTATTACACATTTTCCATAAGCTACCATTTTATTGAAAATTTACAACATAAAAAATGTAAATGTTTTTCTAACCTTTGTTGAATGTTTGCTTTGTGGGTTTTTCAGGTGATGAGGATGACTCTGTCCACTCTGAACTGGAGGAGGAGAGAGATGGTCCGCTGGCTGGTAACCTGCGCCACCGAAGTTGGTATGTGCCTCAATTTTACAAGCTCCAATGAAATCTAGCACCTAAAACACGATTCTAGTTATTTCTCTATGGAGGGTTTGGATTCTTATGTTTCCTGCAATCCATCCTAATTCAGCTGTAAGGGTTGCTTTCAATTAGAACTGAATATGAAGAAAAACATTTAGAATCTTGTCGGTTCACCGTGTGGAGACACAAAATACATTTTCCCCACAAGCTGTTTAATATTTTAATAATGGCACAAGAAAACTCGTTCAATCAGTTATTAAAGAAGATGCATTTGTGCATGAGTAGCCTTTAAACAAACCGTCTCAAGTGTGATGGAAGATTTAAAAAAAACAAAGTTACTTTAAAAGAAAACGTTCATTAAAATCATGCAGGTTGTGAGTTTTTAGCAGCCATCCAGCAGCGGTGTAACGTGTGCACAGCAAGGTTATAATAGTTTAGGATTTTTCATTATAGTTTAGTTTTATTTTGTTTTGACTTGTTTTCTTTTAATTCAGTTAGCTTTAATTAGTTTTTACAGTGGATTTGGTAGTTTTTATTAGTTATTAATACATTTTTAATGCTTAGTTTTAGTTTAGTTTTTATTAGTTCTAGTATTAGTTTTTATTACAGTGTATTTGCCAAACCATCCTCCAGCTTGTGATGTTCCTGTGAGTTAACTAACCAGCAGCTATTTGGTCACTAGTTAAAGCAGTCCATTATAGCAACACCTTCATAAAATAATTGC